TCTTGGCAACCTTGGCCCTAAATATGTTAGGCACATCACATTCAGATCACATCTATTGCAGAAATTACTATCAAATCTACCACAACAAAAATTAAACCCTACATTTTATAGCTGAATAGGAGGGAAACTTTCTTTTAAATCCAGCAGTAAAATAATTCCTTTGATATAGCGCTTTTCACGTCAGGAGGACGTCCCAAAGCGCTTCACAGAACACACTGTAAAGTGAATTGACTGTATATTTGTGGGCGAACGCGGCAGCCAATTGCGCACAGCAATGTCCCACAAACAGTCATGGATTGAAAATGACCAATTTATTATTGTTTTTGGTTTTGGAGGGATTATTATTAGGCTCTGTGTGGAGTAAGGAAACTTGCCCAAGGTTTCGCCCTGCCTGGAATTGAACTCAGGTCTCTCGCTTGCAAAGCGAGTGCTCTAACCACTGAGCTACAGGACTCCACTGAAGGCTGCAACCGGGTTCCAGAAAAAGAATTGTCTCGCAAATACCCTCAATACCCTCTGTAACTGACATGCTACACTGTGTCTGTGAAGCTACTCGGTTGTGAAGTTTGACACATTTGTTTTATAATCCTTGATATAGTACTTCTCAAAGCACTTCACATAATCTATTGTAAAGTGAATTGACTGTTTATTTTGTGGGTGAAATACTGTAGCCAATTGCGCACAGCAATGTTCCACAAACAGTCGTGGATTGAGTCACCAAATTATTATTAAACCAAGAAATTTACAAACGATAAAGTCTGGTACCTCAGCAACTCTAAACATAAATGAAACATTCACAGCTCTTCAAGGGATTCTCAGAAATGCAACCAGTGTCAGAGGGAGAACCTGACATTTGGGAGTGTTTGAAGCAGAGACATGCCTAAAAGGGCAGAAATGTAAAGGCATGAATCATCTCAGAGAACTGGGTGCAAGTCAGTTATCTCAGAGTTACTCAGGAGGTGGGATCGTTAAAGATCCCTTGAGCAAAGATCCCACACCATTTAAAATCACAATGAGAATCTTCAGGAATATTTTCACATCTCTTTTTGAAAGAAACATTACTTTTGATAACCACACTATGGCTAAAATTACTTTAGACCTGAAGTTTTTTTTCTGATGGACAAGCCTACTTTTGTGGACAGCAATTCCAAATTACTTGGCATTCCCGAGGGCAGCTGGCATCCATACAACTAACACCAGCACGAAGCAGCACTTTGGAAAAGGAAATTATAAATGAGGAACAACTTGCACTGCACAAACACCATTATATACTGGGCTCACCAATTGCTCAGCTGGAGCTATTGAAGTGCAACAAAGCACTGATCACAAGTGCGTGAGATACAATCCCTAACCTTGCCAAGTTGCAGAGGTGGTTCATCTACTTTTGTGTCTCTGGGTTAGGGAGAAGTTTAAAAAAAAAGTCAAAATCAGTCTAATCACCAGTTATCATTTCTTTTTACTTTAAAGGGTCATCTACATTATTGAATGTGGCATTTAAAAAAAAGGGATTTATGGAGATTCCAGATTACGATTTAGTGTTTAATATTCATACCAACGTAGTACTGTACTAACTGTTCATTCTTCTGATCATTGTGCATATGTAAAGGAAGATTAAAGGTTTGTCAGAAGAACTAAAATGTCAGTAACAAATGCTAAAATGTTGACTTTGATGCACAAATGTTAAGTAAATTTATATGTCTTTTTTTTTAAACATGAATGCCTTCAGAGATTGAGGAAATCAATTAATTGGGAAATGTATTCTTTCTGAGAAAAGACTAGCACTAAAGCGAATAGTACACAGTCCTTTCACCAAATCCTTCTCGCTGTAAGAGTGCTATACAGTTGAGTTGACACTTCAGGGAGTGCTTCTTACTGAAGAAGACATCTTTCAGATGAGGTGCTAAACTGAGTTCCTATCTCTGGCTGTTTTAAAGATCCTGTGAATCAAAGAAATGAGTTTCTTCTGTGGTCCTGTTCCTCAGATTAATTGGTCAGTCACTCTGTGGCTGTTTCTGGGACCCTGCTGATACATTTACCAACAAAAGCAGCCACTATATTTGACACAAATTGTGAAGTACTTTGAGCCGTTCTGCCATGATCTATAAAGATGCAAGTTCTAACATTGAACAGTTTGAGGCCATCTCAAGACAGTTTTTAAGGGATGTATCACACAGCACAAAATTGCCAATATGATGCTTATTGTGGTGAACAAGGTTCAGTTGAAAGCAAGAAGTGTTAGCCTGGCGTAGTGGTAGCAATCTTGTCTCCGAGTCAGAAAATTGTGGGTTCAAGTCCCACATTGGGTCTTGGAATCACACAGTTTAAACTGACACTCCAATGCAGTGTGTTGGTGTGTTACCTTGTTAGAGATACCTTCCTTCAGATGAGGCACAAAATCAACATCTGCCTGTTCAGGTGGATGTTCAAAATTCCATGGCACTATTCGTAAATAGAAGGGAGTTTCTCCCGGTGTCCTGGCCAACAAATCTCCCCCCAAAAAAACTCCATAGCTGTCTGTGGTGCATTGTGTGCAAATTGGCTGATGCATTTCACCCACAAAATACAGTCAATCCACTTTACAGTATATCCTGTAAAATGCTTTAAGGTATCTCGACAACATGATAAGGAGCTATATCAAATGCAACGCTCTGATTCTTAATTAGTTTCAAGATTTGCCAAGAAAATAAAATACATTCTTTTAAAAGCGTAGTTAACAAATGCACAAGGTACCTGATGAGAAATGAGCTCACATTGGGGACAAACCAAGATAGACACAGCAGAGAAAAATAAATCAAGTAAAGCAATGGAAGATGCCTGGAACTTTGAATTATTTTTCCTGTGACTGGGGCAAGGATCCATGGACAGCAGTTGCCCTCCGGTGGCTATAATTCATGTTTAAGTCTTGACAGGGAATGTTGGCAGGCAATTGAACCATCAGTCGGTAAAGCAGTCAAGCCTATTTGTGCCTTAGCCTAATAAACACACTCATTTTCCAGCAGAGATCTCTGGATAGCAATGAACAGAAGCCCTAGTTGTTTTTCCTTTTCCCAATCTAGAGGAAATAAAGCCAATCATAGCACTCCAACTGTTTTGCCCACAACATACGCAGTCAATTCACTTTACAGTATATTCTGTGATGCGCTTTGAGACGTCTCGAAGACTGATAAGGCACAATATCAAATGCAAGGATTATTATTGTCCCAGATGAGAATAGTTAACTCAGCATAGACCAGGAATCGAATCAGCAACCTTCTGATTTGGTCTGTATGGCTTAAGTTTTGCACTGAGCAGTGACTTCATCTACAACTAGACCATCGGAGGAATAAATAACATTTTTTTTATTTAAAAAATTACTTATCCTCACAAAATAACTTCTCAATCACGACCTCACAGTCCACCAGTCTTGAAACCTAACTGCCAACTGTAATTCTAAATCTTTAGTATGGATTACTTCGTTAATATTCTGTAATCCATGGGCAAAAGTTTACTTTCCACGCATTTTACGTTTTTAAACAAAATCAAAGCTACAATGCTATTTCTACTAATTGCAAAGATGTTATAAAAGCTAAGCCAATCTGCCTTGTGCCTCAGCATTGAAAACTTTCCTTGTAAAAAAAATAAGTGTCATCCAAATTGTTTGCAATTCCAGTATGTCACTCGGTGTAACCGAGACACAGAAGTATTTGAGCAATTGTAAATGCACTAATCGTGGTAGGTAGGGACTGGAGATTCTAGGAAAGTGCTGGATGGGACGACAGGGCATTCATATAAGGGAGTCGGAAAATGGATGAGAAATCTGGAGAATCTCGTGGGAGAAGGCGAAGAGAACAAAAAGTTGATGACTGCTTTGATAAATTCTATGTGACCATATGTTTGGTTCATTAATCCAGCAGTCATTGAACATCTCAATTCTGCCGTTCAAACTTTAATTGCTGATCCACTGATAAGTATTCTATCTCTGATAATACTTACAGTGCGCAACCACAACTTTCCTTTGGGTGGTGATGGGTGTGGGGGGTGTGTGTGTGTGCGGGGGGGGGGGGGGGGGGGGGGGGGGGTGATGAAAATCAAATGAATTGCAAGCCCCAGTAGTTGCAATAAATGGATCGAAAGTTGTTTTCATACCAGATCAAAACATTCCCCTCACTACGGTGTAAAATAACGGTTTTAGTCAACTGAGTAAAGTTCTTAGGATAATTCAATCAGAGACCACATGGATAACATGGGATGGGACTCGCATCATTTTTTTCTGTACATATCCTTTATAACAGCACCGCGTTCACTACAGCCGCAGCAATGCATTATCTCCGACACTGAAAAAGGGATCTGCCAAACAAATCCACGTTAAAGAATGATCCATTATAGTATTATCCATATTACTGACAAATCCAATTAAGCGTCAAGGCATTAATGCCATTCAGAGGAGCAGCAGATGTACTTAGGTACCACACATGTTGTTCTGGGTTTATCTGCTTAAACCTCACCCACAATGGATAAGGAATGGCTAATGCTTTTTTTTTCTCCCCTTTCTCTCTCTCTCTCTCTCTCTTCCCCTCGAAGAGGGTGTCGTGTTCAGCGGGTACTGTGTTCGGATCATTTCCAGAACATGTCACTGTGTCCCTCACATCCAGTGAAAGGGAAAAGTCATCTTTCGGTCTTCAAGAAGGGTTGTGTTCCCCCAAACCGCAGAGTGTCCGGAGGTCCCCAATCGGGGGGGGGGGGGTCCCACGTCAAAAAGTTTGCTTTATTTAACCAGTGGCACTGGACTGGTCTCGGAAAACAAAAAAGCATGAGCAGAAAATGTACATTTTGTATCGAGTTATCCATTGATAATGAATGGGAAGACAGCTTTTCTCCCCCAAAACCCCCCAACCCCTCACCCCCCCAACCCAACCCCGGGCCAAGCGCAGGAAAATAACTGTTTCCAAAGAAGAAGCAGAAGAAAAAGAAGAAAAAAAGAAAGAAAGAAAGAAAGAACAGGTTGGGCTCAGTTCACTCACCGTCTTCCTTCTCGTCGAAAACTGGACGCTTTGAAGAAGTATTCGCTCCCATCCTCGTCTCACCCTCTGCCACATTTAAGAAGGAGCCGATCCGGTGGCATTCCCGAGTTGGCGCAACACGAGGGGAGCCGAGCGGGACCTGAGCGCCAACATCTCCTCACAGCCACTCACTCCCTCCCTCACTCCCTCCCTCCCTCCCCCTCTCACTCCCTCACTCACTCCCTCCCTCCCTCACTCACTCACTCGCTCACTCACTCGCTCCCTCCCTCCCTCCCTCGCTCCCTCCCTCACTCACTCACTCCCTCACTCGCTCACTCACTCACTGACTCCCTCCCTCCCTCACTCACTCCCTCCCTCCCTCACTCGTGTCTCACTCACGGCCAGAAATCTTTTTTTTCTTTCCCAGTGCGCTTTCTTTTTTTCAACCCAAACGTTACGTACGCGTTTTCGCGACTTAACAAAATAAATGATTTTTTTTTTTGCCTCCACCCCCCCCCCCCCCCACCCCCCAACCCCCCACCAAAAAAAAAATTAAAATTAAAACGATAGCTGTCGACTCGCCGCGGAGAGAAAGAACCCTTTTTTTTAAAAGCCCGCGGGTTGCATTGGTGGCACAAACCCGACCGACTGGTAACAGCGCGGAGAGAGACCCCCAAAAGGCGTGTTATTGTTCTTCTCCTCTCTCCTCTTTTCTCTTCTCTTCCCTTCTTCAGTCCAAACAAAAAAGACGTCTCCAAATAAAGGAAAGAAACACTCCCCCCCCCCACTCCCCCCCTCCCCCCCCTTGGCTTAGGTGAATGTTTGGCTATTTTGGTGGGAGGGGAGGAGGGAGAGGACATACGCAGCCATTTATATATACATATATATAGATATCTACTGGAGAGAGAGAGAGGGAGAGAGAGGGTCTGTGGTGCCCTGGGTTTTCGCCCTCTGCTATAGTAGGCACCGCACTGATTGCACAAGGTACAGGCGTTACGCGCTGCCAATCCCCCCCCCCCATCACTGCACCCCCCCCCCCCTCCCCCTCCCCATCACCGCACCCCCCCCCCCCCCCTCCCCATCCCCATCACCGCACCGGCCGTCCCCATCAACCCGCCCCTCGCAGCCACTCATTGGGGTGTCGCCGCGCCGCTCTGCCCGACTCCTGGTTGCAATAGGTGATCCAGCGCCTCAATCTCCCGGCCAGCGGGCAAGGCAACCCCCCCCCCCCCCCCCCCACCCCCAACCCCCCCTCTCTCTCTCGCTCTCTCTCTGTGTGTGTGTGTGTGTGTGTGTTTGAGGGTAAAAGGCAATATAGCACATCAGCAAAGCATCCTCTTGACCAAGTAAGTTGTGGAGTGTATTGCACTGCGATCGTATCTTCTTGTTAAAAGGCAAATGTCCAGGAGACAGAGAGAGATTTTTTTTTGTTTGCAGCAGCAGCAAATATTTACATCCTTCAGAATAAATCCCATGTGTGCATTTTGGGGTTGGAAGTGGTTTACTTTGTTTATTACCAACCGTTGTTCTCCTCTCTCTTTTTTTTAAATGGTAGATCGAAATCTTCTTGCTCGTTCGTTGATAGTTGAGAGTGTGCTCTCTCTCTCTCTCTTTCTCGCAATATGCAGAGAGAGAGAGAGGAGAGAGAGAGGGGGGGGGCAGGGGATTGTTAGGGGGAAAGACGTGGCATTGGTGGACAGAGGTCTTTAAAGATTCCTGGTGACACGTACAACAAGAACCGAACAGAAAGAACACATCCACCGTTAAGTTAAAAAAAAAGATATTCTAAAGACATAGCAAAATCAGGTGTCTTCTGTTGCTGGCATTTCCACAGTCTTGTTTTTTGTTTTGCAAAGGTCCAACCTACATCACTGCCCTGTGATATAAAACACTAACATGCAGTGGGGATGGGAACATGGCCCTCAAAGACTCTGGGTATTCGTGTGTACCAGGGTGAGCTACATCCATACAATGTGGCTGCCTCACCTCCAGCTCTGCTGGAGGAGGGTCCCCCTATCAGGCTGTTTGTGTATGGGAGCATCACTGGCAAACACTGTGCAGCTTTTGATACCATATTGTAGGGAATACTCACTGGCTTAGCTTGTTGGTGGCGCTCCTTTGTTTGATGGTTGCGGGCAAGTCACTGGCAGGTATTCAGCCTCCAAGTACCAAGTGAATCTCCGGATTGCTGGTTTCAACGTGGTGTTTTGGGGGTCTCTGCTTCTCCTAATTCTTTCCCATTTAGATCTACTTGAAAGATGCACGAGTCATCGGACAAGATCAGATTTGGCTGTAATGTTGCCACGGTCAAATATGCATTGTACGCTTGGAGAACAGTCATGTGGATGGGTTACACAAAGGTTGCTGATATCCATGGAAAATATTTTTTCTCAACATCATTAGGTGTACAATGTACATTCGCCCAGCCCCCCCCCCCCCCCCAAAAAAAAAGGGTCTTCCAGATTAATGATAATCTTTGTACATGATATAATGCTTTATTAAAGTAATTAAGTCAACTTGGGATAAATACATGCTAAACAAGTTCCAGGAATTCAACGTCTAAAATCTATTTCTGGTGTATCTTAAATCCCAGCTGACACATATTCCAGCAAGAGGTCTGTGAAGAACCTTAAGTAGGAATAAAGATCAGCGGTCACATAGCTCAAGAAAGTCCATTTGAAATTCAACCCATGAATGAAACTTTTAGCTGTGATTTTCGTATACAGTTGAACTCCCCTGAACCTGTCGGTAAGAGCAACAAGTTCTACTGAAATGCTATTATTATTGGGAAGCGAAGAGATATCGAGAACAAAATCACAGCAGCAACATTAACATATGTGGGAAGAGAGGGGGAAAGAGATCATGGACAGCACTAGCCACAGTAGAAGAGATTATGAATTGCTGCTTGATTAAAACTTAATGAATCTACATAACCTAAACTAAAGACAAATATCTGCAGGAACTATAGAACAATATACTATAGAACACAGAAACCTAAGGACTTGGGGAAAAAACATTTTGAACCATCTGATCAGTCATATTGTTTGAAAGATATCAAATTTATAATGTGATCCTTTACTCCTTAATAGCTTTCTTTGCCAAAAAAAACACTATCTCACTCCCTTTTGCACTTAGTATCAATGGCTATATACATTTTCTGAGCAGTTTGCTCCATATGCTCATCACTCTCTATGCAAATAAAATCTAAACTGTCGGTTCATCTTTGCACTGCTAAGCTCGAATCAGTACCTTTTTGTTGACGAATTTGTAGTTATGTCAAAGTTATTGCTAGGGTTGAGTCTATCTACATCCTCAGAATTTTTAAGACTTCAATACCCCCTTCAGCCAAGTTTCTATAGTATCTGCTAGTAAATCAATGGGAAGCAATTTTATGGGTCTGGAGTATTTAGGCTGTTCAGAATTTGGCACATTTTTTAAAATTCAGTCTTAACTCTGAAATTGTTTTTATTTAGCAGTTCTTAAGGAACGTACAGCAGAACAACTTCAGATTTAAGGATGTAAGAATTGCCAATAGTCAAATGACGATTGATTGACAGGTGGAGCTGTTTGTGGATGGGTGTAGTGCATATGGATTCACAAGCCACTGCAAGGCCTTCAATCACCACTAAGGTCGCCTTCCCGTCCAATGGGAAGAGAAATTGGAGGGAGTAGCAGCAGAAGAAGAATTCTATGGCAGTTGTCACAGCCAAAATAATTCTAATAAGAAAGTGTGTCCAATAAATCTAATCGTTTTCTCAAATCATGTTCACCTGGAGTGCCTAAGTGATGTATAATGACATTTTATAAGCGTTTTAGGATCTAGTTTCAAGTGATGTGAAATGTATATTGTAATATAATGATAATAATAATCCTTGCATTTGATCTAGCACCTGATCACATCTTTGAGGCATCTCAAAGCACTTTACGGAGTATACTGTAAAGTTAATTGACTGTATATTTTGCAGGCGAAATGCAGCAGCCAGTCTCACACAGCAGTGTACCACAAAGTCGTGGATTGAGTGACCAAATTATTTATTTATTTTTGAAGGAATTATTACCCCCGGAAAAGCAATCTGCAATCAACTGAAAACTGGGTTTCTACTTACTGCTAGGTAAACAGGCATGTGGAGTAAGGAAACTTGCCCAACGTTTCACCCTGCCTGAGAATCAAAGGTCTCTCACTTGCGAGATGAGTGCTCTAAGCTACACTAAGCACTCTATTGTTTTGCACATTAGGAAAATACAGTTCTTACATTTCTGAGAACAAATTCCAAATGTAACACATGTACAGTTCTAAATTAAAATACTTTTTTCTGTTGCAAACATTTCCTGTATGTCAATCGTACTGGATTAGTATTGTCTTAACTCAAATCAAATTGCTCTGAGACTATTGATTATTCTTGCTGTCTTTTCACAGTCTTTCTTCTACAGAATGTTGTGTTGCTTTTATAACTTTACTCATTTAAATGTTCAACTCATTCAATTTGCTTTCATGAGCACTATAGATAGTTTAGTTTTGCAATAGTGTGGGATGAGGAAGGAGGAATGAATATGCCCCAGCCGGGTGGTAATAAGTTTTGTTGTCTGCAAGTCTGCTTTCACGCAAAATCAAACATTTCCAATGGTTAACATGAATAATAAATAGGTGCGAATAGTACCAAACAGTTTTCATGCTGTGTTTGCTGTCACCTTGGCGCTAGCTGGAAGTATGTTGCTGATAACTCAATGTTGTAATCACAATGACCAAGTAAATAGAGTTCTACAAAGGTGGTATGATACTATGGCAGTTGTCACAGCCAAAATAATTCTAATAAGAAAGCTTGTGCCCAATACGTCTAATCATTTTCTCAAATCATGTAACCCTGGCGTGCTTAAGTGATATAATTTGATCATCAACAAGTACTGGAGTACTGCAGATCTGCCTGGCTCAGGAGCCAAATACTGAGACTGCCTCAGAGAATTGACTGTATTCTGATCTTCCATGCATCCAAGAGGAAGTTAGACCTTCACATGAGGTAGAGTGGAATAAAAGAGTATGGGTGGAAGTAAGGAATGGGTGGAGATTTATGTGGAGTATACACCAGATTGGATTAGTTGGGCCAAGTGGCCTGTTTCTGTGCTGTACATTGTTTATAAATTAACTTCTTTGTAAATTTCCAATGTCTGACATGACATCTTGGAGCCACCTGAATCTTAGAGATTCCAGTTACCTCTCCCTCCCACTCACCTCAGGAGGATAGTTGCTCATATGGAATATAGCACATTATCTTAATTACATAAGACAGCTGGTTAAAAGGATGTGCAACAAGCTATTTACTGTAATAATGGTGGGTTTCCTGAGCTGGGGGAAAGGTTCCTGTAAGGACACCTATTGGTAGCTCTTTGTATGGTAGGTGTATATTTGGGCTAAATGTTTAAGAATATTTGAAGTAGACTGATGGACATATCAGTCAACCAAATGGATGGAACATTTTAATTTTTTAAAACAACTTATTTTCCATTAGGCTAAAGGACTTCTTTCACATAAGAATTAATCGTTCCAGAACATGATTAAACGTTTCCCTAGTGTTTGGAATGTGCACACAATAATAGAAACGCACATAGTACAGAAAGAATGAAAGTAATATTTTTTTTCTAAATGGTGCAGTCTAAATACTCCAAATTGCGAGGCTGCCATATTAACCCATGATTTGGCTGCCGCATTTTGCCCACAAAATATACAGTCAATTCACTTCACTGTATATTCTGTGAAGCACTTTGAGACGTCTCAAAGACGTGAGAAGGTGCTATATCAAGTGTAAGGATTATTATTTTTATTATAAATACCACTACAATATACGGTCCAGTGGATTGAAATAGATAGATTAAGGATGCCTACGTACAACCCAATGGAAAATATACATACTGCACCTACTTGTTTTATTCCACATAGAACGACACAGTTTTGAAATACTGTACCACATTCAGTTAACCAGGTAACACGACTTATCGCTTTTTTCACATGTTCTCCCCCCTTCACTGCATTTTTTTAGATTAACAGTTTTTTTAATGTTTTTTTCCTTTTGATCTCTCCGTGGGGGCCAATATTTACTCTTCACAAAATACAAATATGGAAGCTTTGAATGAACTTCGAATATTTGTGACATGTTTCGGTCTTGGACTCATTGGAGAAACATATATTTTTGTATGTGCCTGTGCTGGTATTTCCATAATAATGGTAAACACACACAAAAAAAACATTGTAGCCCATCAGAAACAAACAACATTGTAACAACTATCCTTGGAAACAAAACTGTAGCCCTACCGACCCTGTGTTTGTAAATATTCTTTTTCTCCCTCATCCTTTTTAGTTGGCAAACATCTTGTTAGGGTCCATTGAAATAAACGGAAAAAAATACACATCACAAAGTTGACAATATGTTTTAAACAGCTGCAGCCTTCGTTCATGCAGAGTGATTTGGTTTCGAGTCCAATAGAGAGGCAAGTGGACAAGACAATCTTCCCAGCCATGGGGGGGGGGGGGGGGTGGAACACTTTTTTATGGAATAAATCCCCTAAAGTAAGGAGTTCTTATTTGATTCCATTTTGTGGAGTCCTGTAGCTCAGTGGTTAGAGCACTCGCTTTGCAAGTGAGAGACCTGAGTTCAATTCCAGGCAGAGGGCGAAACCTTGGGCAAGTTTCCTTACTCCACACAGAGCCTAATAATAATCCCTCCAAAACAAAAACAATAATAAATTGGTCGTTTTCAATCCACGACTGTTTGTGGGACATCGCTGTGCGCGATTGGCTGCCGCGTTCGCCCACAAATATATACCGTCAATTCACTTTACAGTGTGTTCTGTGAAGCGCTTTGGGACGTCCCCGTCCCCCCCGACGTGAAAAGCGCTATATCAAATGCGAGGATTATTAGCAATAGTATTATTATTCTATTTCGTTTCATTTTAAGAAAGACCAGCTCGCAGCCCAACAGGTGAAAGCACCGGGTTTGGTTGCTGTGCCGGTAATAGGGAGGCAGTCAGCAGCACAAGGTGTGGAGGGAGGGAGTGTGGAGGGAGATTTTGACTGATTTTGAGCCGCAAAAACGCCTTTTGTCGCCGTCACCAGTCGGGATGTTTGTCGCCGTCCGGCCCCCGTGACGCTGGTTGCCCGGGGAGACGAGCAGTTTGTCCTCGAGGCGGCGGCGGCGATGGAGGCACCGAGCGCCTGGGAGTGTCTCACCGCCCCCTCGCCCACCACCACCACTACCACCACTCTGCGCCTCAGCAGAAAGTGCCTCCAGCAGCTGCCCCACAACGTCTATCAGGCCCGAGGGTTGGAGGTCAGTGCGGGACTGTTTTGTTTTGCCCCTCGCTGTCCAGCGCCTCGGGACGCCTTTCCGACGTGAAGGGGGTGGTGGTGGTGGGGGGGGGGGGAGAGAGAGAGGGGAAGAGGCCATTACAAGTGTAATTTGTTGTTGTTGTTGTCCACACTTAAGGTAATGCCACTTTCCAGCTCTCTCCGTGTTTCCGTCATGTCTTTTGTTTTACTTACTGCTCGGCTGCTTATCCCGGGGTTCCCCCTGTGAACCATTCTACAGGATACAGTCTGGCGGGTTGGAATAATATATATATGTGTGTGTATAGGTTAGAATATAGTATATATATGTATATAGACGTTTGTTGGACTTTGCACCGATAACATGCAATGGTGTTCTTGACCTCTGCTCCTTCTCCAAGACCTGTTTTTTTTAAAAGTCGGCATCGTCTTATTCTTCTCCGTTGCGAACCGCACAACTTAAGGTTGGGTTGAACGGGCGTGGGGGAGATTGCCAGCGCAGACTCGACGTCCGCTGACCGCGGCGCTATCAATAATGTAACGCGAAAAAGTGACGTGCTTTCATGATTCCCAGGTTTCGTGACCGTATTAAGTCAATAAACAGCGTGAGTCTTAACACGCGGCATTTGTTTGACGTCTCCTGGCGAAGCCACTGTCAATTTTTGAATTGCGATGAACAACTGGTAGTTTATCGTTGGCTGACATCTTGTAGATTGATTGTTTCCATTCCAGTGAACTGAATATTTCCAATCAGACACATAGAAGTCTATGGCTACACATGTCTGTCACTGAAATCGCTGCATCTTTTTCTTCTTAACAGAATTTGTATCTGGAAGGCAATGTTCTCGCGAGCCTTCCTGAAAACTTATTTTATCAGTTACCAAACCTTATCTGGTTAGACCTGAGGAACAACAAGCTCACAAGTCTCCCATCTTCAATTGGAGACCACAGGTTTGACCACTATTTTTCTCCATTGTTAAAATATTTGTATTTGTGTCCCTTTTAGAATTGTTTCTTGATACGTAACTCAGCACTCGTAGTAAAGATTAAAATTTAGAAGTTTGGATTGAAGCTATGATCTGAACACAAGATTTTCATGTCCATTTTTGTTGTTGAATACGTAATTGAATACATTCGATTACTTTGAATTATATTGTAAGTCCTGTTCCTTTTTAATTCCCCTTGTGTCTAGCCTGTCTAAACGTGAAGGATATTGAGTTGAAGGGTAGTTAACATTTAGGATTCAGTTCAGTCTACTAGCATCCTGCCATAAACATAAAACTGTATTTTAATTACACTTTGCTTTTATTTGCAAGTGTGTCTCTTGATGTCTGTTTTATTCATTTATGTAAAACAATATGCTAATTTGAAAAGTGTTCTCATTATGGCTCCAATGGAATCATGTGCATACTGACTTGTATATGATGTTATGATTACATAAGTTCCACCACCTACTCCCTTGACCCCATCCCCACTCCACTCCTTATCTCCCAGCTCCACCTCCTTGCCCCACATATCACAGACATCGTCAACCTGTTCCTCTCCTCTGGCTCTGTTTCCATTCCCTTAAAAACTGCCACCATCACTCCCACCTTGAAAAAACCCTCCCTTGATGCGTCTCAGCTATCAAGCTACCGGCCCATCTCCAACCTCCCCTTCCTGTCCAAGGTCCCTGAAAGAGTTGTCGCCTCCCAGCTGCGCTCTTTCCTCTCCACCCATTCATTATTCGAACCCCTTCAGTCGGGTTTCCGTGCTGCCCATAGCACAGAAACTGCCCTGGTCAAGGTCACCAATGACATCCTGACCATCTGCGACCAGGGCTCCCTCTGCCTCCTCGTCCTCCTCGACCATTCGATACGGTCGACCACGCTATCCTCCTCCACCGCTTGTCCTCCCACCTCAACCTTCAAGGCCCTGTCCTTGAGTGGTTTAGGTCGTACCTCTCCCAGCGTCTTCACTTTGTTTCCACGAACGGCTTTTCCTCCAGCCCCCGCACTGTCTCGTGCGGTGTCCCTCAGGGCTCTGTCCTCGGTCCCTTCCTCTTCACCCTCTATATGCTCCCCCTTGGTGACATCATCCGCAGACATGGGGTTAACTTCCACATGTATGCGGATGACACCCAACTCTACCTTTCCTCCTCTACCCTCAACTCCACGACCACCGATGTCCTGACAGCCTGCCTGTCCGACATCGAGTCCTGGACGAGAGACAACTTTCTTCAGCTCAACGTGCGAAAACTGAGGCCCTCCTGATTGGCTCGCGTCAGCGCCTCCGCACCTCAGGCGCTGACAGCATCAGCATCCAAGGCTGCACTCTCCACCTCTCAAAGCCAGTCAGGAACCTCGGTGTTCTGTTCGACCCTGAGCTGTCCTTTCTCCCTCATATCCGCGCCACAACTGGCACCGCCTTCCATCACCTCCGGAACATCGCCAGACTACGGCACTACCTCACCCCTCACGCTGCTGAAACTCTGGTCCACGCCTTTATCACCTCAAGGCTGGACTATGGGAACTCTCTCCTCGCCGGCCTTCCCGGCACCTCCCTCCACAACCTGCAGGTCATTCAGAACTCTGCAGCTCGTGTACTGTCCCGCACCAGGCTTCGGACCACATCACTCCCACCCTCGCTCGCCTCCACTGGCTCCCCATCCCCCAGAGGATCGAATTCAAGATCCTCATCCTCACCTACAAGGCCATTCACGGCCTTGCTCCCTCCTACCTCTCTGACCTACTATCCCCCTACTTACCTGCCCGTACCCTCCGTTCCTCTGGCTCCGGTCTGCTCCACATCCCCCGACCCAACCGCCCTACCATCGGTGGCCGGGCCTTCATCCCCTAGGCTCTGGAACTCCATCCCCCAGTGCCTTCGCCGCCTCCTCCCTTTCCTCCTTCAAGGCCGGTCTCAAGACCTTTCTCTTTGACCGTGCCTTCAGCTCCCCTCTCGACTCTCTACCCCCTCCTCGCTCCCTCCCTTCCCTCCCCTCACCCTGACCATTTCCCCCCTGCTCGGGTCCTGACCCAACTGTACAGCGCCTTGGGACGTCCTCCCGACGTGAAAGGCACTCTATAAATGGAATCTTGTTGTTGTTGTTGTTCCATGTTTGTGAGACCTTTTTTTCTCCATCGGTCATTACATAAATAACAATAAAACAGGCAACTTTATTCTCCATTCATCTGGAACATTTCCAGTTCAAGATCCTGGTCCTCACTTACAAAGCCCTCCATGGCCTCATCTCACCCTACCTCTGCAGGGTAGGAATGGAAGTAAAGAAATGGGAATGACCAGTGGTTACAAATATGTTCATGCCATAGACAATCACATACTTGTGGTCTTTCTTAGGGAAACTATATACTTGTTCATGTTGTAACAATAAGCCAGTGCTCTGGTTGCTGTACTTATTGGTCATTTAATGTTGTCTTTTACAGGTGCTTGAGAACTCTGCTCCTTGAGGGGAATCCTATCCGAAAGTTGCCAGTAGAGCTTGGTTAGTCCAAACTTTTGTTTTCGCTGGCTTGTGTAATATTATAGATATTGTAACCGATGATAAATTCCCCTTACACTTGTAACTTAAATGCAGAATGTACTATTTTCCTTGAGTGGGGAGGTAACTGTGATAAATGGCGAGCAAAAGGAAAGGGGAGCAACTCTCCCAGTTGCATTTTGTGATCTGATATCTGAACCAGGCAGCTGTATAATAATCTAGGGGCATGGTTGACTATTAACCAATTCGGCTGACTATCATTGAGATTTGAAGAGCTAGACATGTTATTATCTTAAGATTTTTTCTTACATCTTCATAAAAAGTGCTGCCAGTTGGGCAAGCAATGGGAGGCTTCATTGGTGTGGGAAATCTCACTGATGCATTAAGATGCTCTGTTTGGAGGTTGAGGTTATATCAAAGGAGATGTAAGTTTTTCTCAGCATCCAGTGTATATTAAGACTGACCCAGGAATAATTGACACCGGCAGATGTGGAGTCCTGTAGTTCAGTGGTTAGAGCACTCGCTTTGCAAGCGAGAGACCTGAGTTCAATTCCAGGCAGAGGGCGAAATCTTGGGCAAGTTTCCTTACTCCACGCGCCTAATAATAATCCCTCCAAAAAACAAAACAATAATAAATTGGTCATTTTCAATCTACGACTGTTTGTGGGACATTGCTGTGCGCAATTGGCTGCCGCGTTCGCCCACAAATATACAGTCAATTCACTTTACAGTGTGTTCTGTGAAGCGCTTTGGGACATCCTTCCGACGTGAAAAGCGCTATATCAAATGCAAGGATTATTATTATTATTATTACCTTAGTGACCACACCCGTGTGTCCCCATAAAACAATAGATCGTGAAAATAGTCTACTCCGAGACGGCGTCCGGCGTGGAGGGCGCTATATACATCCAAGTTGTTGTTAAGATCCTGGGATAATCCTTTGTGTGTTTATATTTGTAATTTGTTTGTAAATATAATGGAATTTGTTGTTGTATTTGTGAAGGAGCTACGAATTACAAATGGGTAATTTGCTTGTTTTTTGTTTAAATCTATGTGGTGTTTCTGTTAGGTAATCTTACTTCACTGAAGGCAATCAATCTTAGAAACTGTCCAATCGAGTTTCCTCCAGACAATGTTCTGCATCAAGGATTATCTGCTATTCTAGAATTCCTCCGAAAAATAGTGAAAGATAATCAGATTGAACAGATTGAACCTTCTCTTCAGGATACAGGTACAGAATAGAAGAAGGTGTGACTACTTGTTTCTTGTATACAAAATTGTGATGTAATATTATACAAATTGTTGCACTTTTACATTTGGAAACATTCATAAATTCCAGTCTTTATACAGAATGCATGGTTACAAATTATGAAACATTCCAAACTGTATTAGGGGAGTGTGGATTAGAGAGTTTTGGGGGCAGAGGTCTGCAGGGACAATATCAATCCCTTGAGGAAAGTGTTTCAGTCTAATAGGGATGAGTGAGGCATAACCTCTCTCACCAAAAAAAACTAGTATAAAAATATCAGTGTTTCAAGATCATTGAGTATTGATTATTCATTATCATTGTTATCAAAATGCATTGAATATAGATATACAGTATGTTGACTAATCTTTGATGATAGAAGATGTATTTTGTGCTTTTCTTTCATTTGAGAAACCTAGGTGGATAATCAAGGTTTTTGTGCAGAGAACCTCTTGTTCTATTACATTGGCATATCCAAAAGTAATGTTTATTGAGAAGTATTGGCCATGGATTTTAAAAACCTGCCAATTGTTGGCAGAAGAGAAGATGCTTTGAACAAATTTGTTGTGGATCACTTGTGCTTCACAGTGCGTTTCTATTTTTCACTATTGAAATTCAAGAATGCTTTCAGGCCATCATGGTGAAAGGAGTTGCCATGGTTACTTTTGCATGCTCATTGATGTAAGAACACACAAAGCTGTATGATTTATTCACAAACATCAGTAGCCTACAGGTAGGTAAGTAGTTTTGATTGGTATTTAATTTATGCATTCGTTTCATATAGTTCCATGTTTCAGTTCCATGTTTCAGGTATGGAAGATTAATTATCAGGCTGTTCTGAAATGCATATTCTATAATGGAGTTTAATGAGTAGAGATCTGCACTTTTCTTTAGCTTTTTTATGTGCATCAGTCTGGCTGAGTTGGTAGCACTCTTGCCTATCAATTAGAAGGTTGTGGGTTGAAGCCCCATGCTGTGACTTTAAGTACGTAGTCTAAGATGACACTCCAGTGCAGTGATGAGTTTGCGTTGCAATGTTGGAAATGCCATTCTTCAGATGACACATGAAACCAAGGTCCCATCTGCTTGTTGAGGTGGATGTTAAAGATTCCACGGCACTATTTGAAAACAGAAGAGAGTTTCTCCTGGTGTCTTACCACCAATCCTCCAAAATAAAATTGGTTATTCAGTTGTTGTATGTACCAATTGGCTACCAAATTTGCTTACAAGATAAAGTCATTACACTTTACAGTGAATCCTGTGAAGCGTATTAGCATCCTCCTGACCTGAATGGCCCCATGTCAAATGCTAGAAATCTTATTATTCTATGTGACAAAGTACCATATTACAAGTTTTGAATGCAGTGGATCTGTTTATTTAATTGCAGTAACAATTCAGAAATTATTCTAAGCCATCCCTAACCACAGAAAATCACTCACTATAATGAGGTTGGCCATAGGTACCAAAATATTTTACTATCATACTTTCCTCTCTGCCAGCTCCTACAGCTGGCTATTCACTCTTCTCACATCTTAACTCTTCTATTCATGTTCCCAAACACAGTTCCTGCTATCTCTGCTTACACCAGAGAACAAGTAAGTCCTTCACCTCTGAGGATATTAATTTTAAGCCATCAATTATACACTTTGTCACCGATTTCTCACCACATTATCTCTATTGCTGTACACAAATCATTCCTCATCAATGGAGTGTTGCCCTCACTATGCTTCCATGAAGTCTATTCCAGCCAGATGGCAGATAGTTAGACTTGTGATAGTAAAGTAATGGGCAGAGACTTGTATGGAGGATAAACACTGGGATGGACTAGATTCAGAGTATAACATACATTGTTTTCTGGTGTTGTCCAGAACAAACTACAGTACTTATTTTCTTGGGTCTATCTGGCCTAAATTTGGATTTGTCAGGACTGGAATGTAATTTTTGTCCTGAATTTAGTTTGATATCAGGTAGAAATAAGCATGATATTTATACTGAAACAATTGTTTAAATTAAATACCTGAGTTCATATTGTGGTTGACAATTTTCAAAGTTCTGGCATATCTAACTGGGATCAGTAGGAGTATGATTCAGAGTAGACAATTACCAAGATATCATTTAATTTCACTGTAATAAAAAAACCAGATCCCCCTTATAGAATCAAGATAAATAAAACCAATTTTGAAAATTTCCTCTTTTGCATTTATATCACAGAAAGATTATAATGCCGTGCACAGTTGACTTCCATTAAGTTGAGTAATTAAATGTTAATTCTTTCTCAGTCATTCTGTTTTAATTTTGTAAACAGGACTTCCCACGGCACTTCAGAAAGAGGCACAGCTCATCATTGAAAAGTACAGGAAAAGTTTACCTAGGAAATCTGTCAGTGAAATCTGGAAAAACATAATCAGCAGTGAGTTTCAAATGACCCCATTTGTGAGCTTATTCAATCAGAATTATAAATGTGTTCAGTGAGTTAAAAGGTAGTTACAGTTTTGAGGGCTCACACAATATCAGTGCAAGAGCACTGCATTTTAGAATGCCACCTTAAACACTATTTAAACAGTACTTAAACTGAAACACTAAGCCAGTCGCTCAGGTGGTAAATGTACTGCAAACTGAGGTTTAAATTTCAGTTTGTACTGAGTTAAGTGAGTGCATCTGAGATAGCAGTGGTTAAAAGAGAGGGAATTCTGATCACTATTTAGAGACCTCTGTTGCAAGTTGCCATACATGCACATCAGATGAGGACAGGATTGGGCTTGATTGTGATTCTTACTGCAGACCACCACCAACAATGAATATCATTACTAGAGTTTAATGTGAATGAGCTGGGGAGGTCAGTGGGATTATAGAATACAAAAGAAAGCCTCCAGTGGAGGAGAAAAGTGGACAAGAAAATTCCCAAGTACAGTATCCCAAGTTCACTTTTTTTTGAAATTACATATTTAAATAAATGTTGCTCACATGATGTACTTTTGTGAAGCAAAGAATGTGTTATAAACATGTTTTTCATCACACACATGTTTAAAATGTTTTTTTTTCATTTTGTTAAACCTTACTTATCTTTCTTTCGTTTCAAGATTTTGGAATTCATAGGCGCTGCTTCAAGGGTATTTGTTTATCAAACATCCGGATTTTAAAAAATAGACATCAAAGCTTGATCATTTGAAGCCATTAGTGGTTGTTGTGATCTGTCCTGCAGCCCCATTCCTTATCTTATGTTGCCATGTAAACAAAAGCAACCTTAGAGGCACTTCCAGTTTTGCAGTTAAGTAAGGGTCCAATTAATTCTTCCACATTCAATATTGTGGTAAGAATTGAAGTTTTCCTGTAACAGATCTTTAATGTTTCCTGTGGTTTGCATTCCCTAGTCAGGAAAAATAAAAAAATGGTTTACTGGTGGTTTTTAAAAAATAGGTTTACACATTCATTTTTAATGTGATTGATTTTTTTCATAACCCCAAATCCTTCCCTACATTTAGAACATTTTCATCCTTATTGGGTCCTGGTTCTGCTGCAACTTTCCCAGACCCTGTCAACGTTTTTGTTTTTGACGGCTTTTTCTGTTGTTTTACTGGCAGAGAAGATTGTCAGAAGCAAAGCTGTGAGTTGCCATTTATGGTGTTCTGTTCAGAGCTTCTGAAGTGTAACTCAATGAGGGAGCAATGCTCCACCTAGTGGTTGGACTGAAAAGTAACTAATCTCATTTTGCTATGACAAATGTTGAAAGGTACAAACTCACCAGCTTCTCATTCGGAATTGAGTAAAACTGTTCTATTAATGTATGTAATGTAATCCTCATTCACCTCCATCAAGCCGGCATTTCTTTTATGACAATGCAATATGTTTTTGTTTGGCAGTTGTTAGTGCAATTAACTGGTTGCAATCTCTTGATGCCTGCAAGTCAAAACTACCAAGATTAATACTAAAAACCAAATATGATGTTGTATTGTCAGCAAGAACATGTATTTAATGCAGCTAAGCTTGAAATAATGTTTTGGCATTACGAGTAATACTGTTATATTTAGCTGGTAGTTTTGAAGATTGCATTGGAAAATATTGCAGATTATTTGCTGTGTTAGTACTTGAAGTCTTAAAATGCCTTCAACAGATTATTTTTTGAACAATGTATTTTGTAAAAATTAGTTACATTAACTGCTGTATCTGGAAATGATTCAGGCACTCACTTAAGACTATTTTTTAGTGTAGGTGGTTTTGATTACTTCTACATTTGATTATATAAAGTGGCACAATGTTATTTCTAAATTTGGACAGAAAACCCCAAAACTTTTTAATTTTATTATCTAAACATAACGCATACATGTCAGACAAAGCCAGGATACATCTTGTAATGTATGCTTAACCTACTGCCTAATTTCATTATGAAATTCAGAAAGGAATGCTGACTTTACAGAATGATAGTGTTTCTCTTTTAGTAGAAAAATGTAATTTTTAATTATCAGATTGTTACCACAATGCTGATTGTACATAATGATGAATAAGAATAATACATTTGCTTTTCTCCTTTTTTATTGCCTCCCCCACCCCCCTTTTAGAAGATAAGCAGGTAAAAATGACGATTGTAACTAAGAGTTGGGGAAATGTTTAGGAATGGCTTTGAACAACTTTTCAACCTGATTTTTCCCTTCCTCTCTGTGGGAAAATACTTTAATTACATCATCTCTACTCAAGCACATGTATTTGTAACTTGTGTGTATGCAGCTATTATGTATTTATGATGAAGAGATCCTGTATAGTGAACACATTTGGTTATTAAGCGTTGCCTATCAAATGTATTTTTAGAATATTTCTAAAACAATAGATTGCAATATCTTGACATGTGGACTGTTTTCTTTAAGTACTCACAATATTAGCATCTACTTATGCTTATTATCCACATCCTTTGACTTTGTCACATCTAAGGATAATTTTAGTAAAAGGTGTTCTTTGTTTTTCTTAGAGATTCCCACAATAGAAAAACTAAACTTGACTGAACGATCCCAATCAAGTTTAGATTTCTCTAATGTGGAAGAACAGCAACAATTTGAAAAACTAAGACGTGAACTACAACAAGATGAAGAAAGGAACTTTTTTACCCACCCTATCAATCAGAGTAGAAAAATATGGACTTCAGGTTCCCAACAGCACACCTATACCATTCCTAGGTAAACAACAAAATTAATATTTCTGAATCAGACTCTTGGAAACAGCCCTTTGAACTTTCACACTTCCACACAAGTGATCTTTCCCCTCCTCCACTTACTTATTCTGAATCCATTCCGAGTTCTTATTGCTCTACTCAAACACTGACCAAGACCATTCTAGAGGAGCTTGTATAACTAGAGATATACCACGAGTCTTTGGGGCTCATGCAACCTTCAGTGTTGGTCATCAATGACTGCAGATCAGAAGCATCTGATACTAAGTGGCTATCAAGTTTTATTCCAAAGTCTGGAGTGTTTGTGTTGCGCCTCAGCCAATTTGATAGTCAGCCAAGGTAACAGCTGTTGCTCATTTGCCTCAGCCACCATAGCCCTCAACTGCAGTACACAAGTGGCTTAGTTATTAAGCTTCAGGGGACTAATTATTTGTGATGTCCCATTGATGCTAAAACATGACTAAGAAGCACGAGTGTAAGTCCTGAACTAACTACTGAATCTCATACAAGGATGACCTGGTCAGATGTTCATAAGTAACCCTTAGGGCTTCTATTTGACAGCATGGCTCTTGAGAACAACCAGTCAAGAACAACTAGGTTTTCAGCAATCCCTGGCATCCACCCTTCTGGTATCCTGGAAAGGATCCCTGTTGAAAGCGGAGAATGACAAATATAAATTATCATGCATATATATCAGGAGCATTTCTTCAGCACTCTTGTTCCTTCATATTCTGCTAGACATGTGTCTCACTTATCTCTTCTCTCCTATTCTGTGGTCTCCAATTGAGGTAAAACCTGTTCATTCTCTTCCATATAAAAATATTGAAAATGTTGAAGGATGTGTTACTGTTTAAACTTGAGAAAAGTTGGTACAGTATATGGTCAACTAAATATTGGCAAACACCATTCAATGAGGCACCTTTCTCCGTATGCATCCAATTTGTTTACATTATCAGCTAATGCAATGTAATGCTGAAAAAAACGGTAATATTAAAGCAGCAAAGATCAAGAATTTATTGTTGCAGCAATATTAAACCTAGGCTATTAAAAAATGGTGTGCTTTGTTAGGTTGCTTCGTTGTAGCTATGGACAAATGTAAATTGTTTGAAAATTTAAATTACTTGATTCTGATTTCTGTTCTATTTATTTTCTTAGCAAATGTTAATTGCCTGATATATCCATTGTTTTTGCTCTGTTGATCTATCTTTTAGTGATTGAATTTTAAATTCCTTTTTCTGATGTTCACTTATAATAATAGATCATGTGTTGCAGAAAGAAGAGACCTTACCTAACAGGAATGCTTCCTGAATTACCAGCTTATGAAGTATACATTCACGCAAAACAAATGGAGGAACAAAGACTGGCTGCAATAAGAGAATTCAAAATAAGTCAGGAAATCATTGAACAGAGGAGAAAGTGAGTAAGGTTTTCTCAACTACCATGGCAAAATGTGAATTCTTGAAATGTGTTCTATTATGGAAGAGAACAGTTTCAAGCGTGCTTCTGTTGTGTTTTGTTTTTAAATTGATTCCATGTGAACCCAAAATGTTTATGGTAGAAATTAAATTTAATGTTAATGTGGGTTCAGTGTTTTGACTATATGAATGGTATTTTTCAGGGAACATATTGGAACTTTATTTGCCTGATCTTGATTTCATCATGACTACTTCTCATTTTCAGAGACCTTAAAGCATTAAAGGATTGGAGAGAAAAGGCAAGTTCAATGCAGGAAAAGAAATTGATGGAGAGAAGGGAAGGAAATATATTATTCAAGAATGAGGTATACATACAAAATATGTTCTTAATGTCCCAAATATTATGTATCTGTATGGTTCATAAAACAAGGTTACATTTTTACTGTATCTTGTTTTTGTACAGATGTATTTTTCAGTTCCATGTTTAATAGTTAGTATGCATATTTGTTTGCATATTTTTGTAAATTGAAAAAAAAATGGCTAACAGAGGTGAACAGTATTATAACACTTCCTTCCTGCCCTCTATAATGGTATTATAGAGTGTAGGAAGGAACTGTCAGTCACATGGTTCTAGTCTGATTTCTCTTGAAATCACTTGTGATCTCCTTGTTATTTTGGTTGAGTTGCTATCTATTCCCTTTTTGACCAACACAATGTATTACAGCTGGTTTGATTTTTTTTGCCAACAGGTACTAAAGAATGCACCATTTGCTACAGATCCAGACTTCTATCCTGTAACAAGAAATGAGCTTCAAAGCAAACAAGAACGTAGGAAAAGAGTTGTAAATGTGCCATCACTAAAGGAAGAAGAAACAAAGTGAGTTTCAGGATTTTAATTGCTTCAGTTACGAATCAAAATGTAATTGAAGTTAGAAATATTTATAATGCACCTCTTACAAAACTATTATAAAATGTTAGCTTCTGAATGGGAAAAGCTAGATTGATTAAAACTCACAAGTCTTTCAATATTCCATGCGTATTAGTATTGTTATCACTGTTTACCCGCCGTTTTTGATTTTCCTCTCTCCATTTGGACTTTCCCCTGGGACATCAGTTGAGCGAGAGACACCAACAATAAACCCTTCCCATACATGTATTAATCCCATTCCATAATGAGCATTGAGAAGTTCACAATTATAGTTTGGCTGTTATTATTTTCACATCTCTCAGTGTGAGAGAAGGACAAATTAATCTAAATTCCCTGCCAGTTGTCTTTTCTAAAGTTAACAGCAGTAATTTACTAGAATGATTCCTGGTGTCAAGGGCTTAAATTATGATGAAAGGATGGAAAAACTCAGAGCGAGGATTATTGATGTGATAATAATATTCCTTGCATTTGGTATACTGCCTTTCACATCATTTGAATAGTGCCGTCGGACCTCTAATAAACAAGCAAGTAGGAACTGATTTAATGTCTTATTTGAAGGACGACTCTGTGACAACACAACACACACCCAGGACTGCATTGGAGTGTCAGCTTGGACTATGTGAGGTTAAATCCCAATGTGAGGCTTGAACCCACAATCTCTGATTCAGAGGTGAGAGTGCTACCAAGAGAGAGCCAGGATGACACACATGTAACTGTTTATTGCATTGATATTTTTGTACATCTACTAGAGATAAACAGCTAGAACTGCAGATCCAACAACATATCAGAATGATGTGGGAGAGAAGAAGAAAACAGAAGAAAACAGTTCAAGAGGAACTAGAGGTTGCAAAAAGAGATCTAGAAATTGTAAGTGCATTTGTTTTTGTTTCCAGGAAATGTACAATGATGTTGCTTTTTTTTTTAAAAATTGCAATTTTTGGTAGATGATTATTTTTGTCATTATGGTTTGAAGGAATATAGGAAAGATATTTAAAAAAACATTATTTGGTTTAGATATCTTAAATCTATTGGTTGAAGTTCAACTTGTTAGCTAAGTTACAGGCCCTGACAGAACACATTTAGAATGTGATTTCCCCATTACAAGTACACACCAGCAAATTCCAAATAACTAAGCCAAATTACTATTTTTAATATTTGCTGTACTGTATATGATTCATCTAAAACTAATGTGCTGTTAGTCATTCAGCAGCCTATGTTAAAGACAGCCCAATTTGTAAGTTATCTTACTCTCTATACACCTTTGGGAGTGTGTAAATATTTTTACTATGGATATCTGTTCCTGTAACTTAAAAGAAAAACTAGAGTGCTATTGTGGTGAGGCATTTTTAGCCAGGAACGGTAAATAGAGGATGGTCTTGTTGCAGATATTTCCTATCTGCAAATACGTCAATCAGTTCTAAAAGCTTTATTTTAAATCGTTGACAGCTATCTAGTCATACGTGGAGGAAGGAAGAATATGGAGTGCTTAAATAACATTGCCTCCAAATTAAGAAGTTTGGAATAAATAAAAAAGTCATTAATAATTAAATGGGATTGTACAAAGAAAAAATAATTGTGTCTTTGAATTTTCTACACAGGCTGAAAAGTTCCGGTCTGAACTTGCTGAAAGAAAAAACAGGATTCCTCCTATAGATTATGCTTTCACTGCATTTAGTAGAGAACCATTATCAAACAGTTAAACCACGATCAGGATCCAAAATGTTGTTTCATTAATGAAATTTTAATATACTATCAACTTTATGAAGATTTGCTTCCTTTTTTAATGGGACTGCAATATTTGAGAACAATCATTTAAAAGCTAGAACTTATTTTTTTCTTCAATCAAATAACATTTTCATAAAACCGAAGCTTTACATGCTACAGGTATTATAAAATGTATGGTATTGGTATCCTTCCATAAAAATAAACATAATCGGCTAGTAAACTATTTTCCATATCTTTATAAAAAGGTAAGTCAGTCGTTTAACTGACTAGATCCAATATAGCTTGCTTTGGTCTGTACTACTACATTTGTCAAATGCTATATAAATACCAGTTGTGGTTGTCAAATGGTTAATCAGTGAGAAAGGAATATATTTTATTGTTCAGCCTCATCAGAATTTAGAATAGGAACATGTTGATTTCTGACTGCTTATCTGTAGTTTGGAAAAGGGTTCAGCTACATTTAATGAATGCATTATTTTTCTAATCCTAAGTAAATTTAACTCAGAGAAATTGTAATTTAAAATGAATATTGATAATCGGAAGTAGTTATTACTTTTTCTTTAATTTTCTCCAGGTAGAGATGATTCATTCTGGGGTACTGTTATACATGCAGTACAGCTCTTGGGTGCTTTGCTCAATTAGACATTCTTCAAATGGTACGCTGTGATGGCATCACAGCCAAACCCAATCCTCATGCAACACCCATATACAGTACACTAAAATCCTGCCTAGCCAGACCAATGCATGGGGGAGATCTGGCCCAGTGAGCCGGAATTTCCAGCTAAGTGTAAATACAATGTTGGGCTGGCACTTAACCGGCTTTTTTCAGTGCAGAAAAATGCTGAAAAACCATACTGATACATACACACATTCACACACACACACATATTATCTGAAAATGCTGAAGCAACTTTTTAATTTGTTTTCTCAAAAAGGCAAAAGCTAATTGAATTTAAAACACATGGCAATTTAAAATCTGTAGAAACTGACATTTGTTTTAGTGACTATTTTTGCACCTAATTTCTCAATGTGAACAAACTGATGCCTGAGTTGCTAATTAGGTAATACATTACTACTCCATGCTGAAATTAGGTGCCTAAAAGGTAAAGTAAAGGTAACATGTTTATTTGCACACAGTCAACCCTGTTTTACATCAACAGTTTGGCTCATTAATTTGAGATAATTGAGAATCTCATTAGGTATTTATAACCAGGCCTGTTTTCATTCCACAGACACATACATCCCAGGTTTAGTGTCACCTAACCATGACATCCTGATTTACTGTACTGTGTTTTTATGATATTCTTTCGACCCTGGTGATGGCCTGCACTATGTGCTTTAACCCTTCGCCTAGTTTTCTCAATTTAAAATAATTGAAGTTGAATATTCAGCCTATAAATACCGAATATTTAAACACAGTGATCCAATTTATATCATTGAAATGTCACTGCATGCTATTATATCCTGTTACAAATATCTTTTCATCCGTCTTTCTAATGGGATTTTTAAAACCAACTAAAATATTCTACTTTGATTCATCATATGACCGCTTATCTGTTAGAGATTAATATACAACAAAACCTGTAGTGAAGTAAAAGGAGAACCCTCATTAAACTGGAAGGAGCATAACTATAAGAGCTTTGTAGGCTTGAATAATAGAAGTGGTTGGTGAAGAAAACACATTTAGAAGATTTTTCAAATCTAAGGGTATTTGGAAGGACATGAAACTCATTGCATTTTAGTAAACTGGAATTGTGACAGCATTTAACCTCCATTTTAAAATGTTAAATTCAAACAAGGTATGATGTTTTTCATTTGTAATACTGCACCTACTGTTGGTAAGGTCATCAAACAGAAAAAAACCTCTTGGGGATTGGAAGAAGCCACACTTACTTCCCTATCTACATCCACTGATGATTAGGAATTATTTAATTGAAAAGCTAGAAAATATGATGACAGGTTAATTCTTGAAGGCACTGAACTCTTAATTATTTTGCCTAAATTATTGTTATTACTGTTTACAGTATATTTTAGCATTATTATTAATCATACATTGAAGGTTTTGTCAAGTTACTGACAACAAAGCTAATCAAATACTTATAATAATAATTATTGTGTTCGATGTAGCACCTTTCAAGTTAGAATTAAAGCATTCCACGGGGTTGACAGTGAAGTGACTGCCTTTTTTTTTGTAGGTGTATTTTGTTCAGTTAACCAATAAGTGTCTCGTGGATTACTGTTTACATTTTTGACCAGATTACCTTCAAAAGGACAATATTATGAAAGTTCAGCGATCTGCAAGATTATTTCTGGAACTTAAATCTCTTAAATTATTCTTGTTTTCATTAAAGAGGAATATGATCCACTTTTTTAAAATGAAAAGCATCAGTTGTCAATCTGACTCAGCCAGTTGCACTCTCAACTTGGTGTCAAATGGTTGTACGTTCAAGCCCCAGGTTAGGTTTTAGTGCTTACAGTATAGAATGGACAAGTCCATTGCTGGGGTCGTGTTCCATTGTCAGAGATACCATCATTTGGACGTATAAACCATTTATTCATGAATGTGAAAGATGGCCAATAAAACCCCACAAAAACAAGGATATTTCTTCTGGTGTCCTGGCTAATAATTCTTCAGAAAATATTGTCATTCCCTTTATAACAATTTGTGGGCCTTTACAACATGCTGTGGTTACCAATTTGCCTACAATTGATAGCAATTATTTTTAATATCAACTGGGAGGATTATTACTGGTATTATTAATGTACAACGATATTTCACTTGGACCATGAGAGCAAAATCAAAAGGAATAGATTCACATTTTAAAAAAGTGTCAAACTGGATTTGAACTGAGACGTTTTGCTTACAAAGCAATGAATGTGTGATCACTCAAAACAAAAGTAGGGTTTTTATGCTGTGTTAATAAAACTCTTCAGAAACAGAATAGATGTGTGGTAGAGGACAGTACTGAAAGATATAGGTTCAGTCTGACATGAACGAATATTTCACTGGATGTAGTGAGCTCTAATGCTGGAACGGGGGTTAATGAAACAGACTTGTGTTACCTGCAGTGAAAAGGAGGCCATGTTTAAATGATTCAGATCTGGGGTTGGAATAAATATTCTGGAGATTTTTGCTTGATTTCCTTTGGAGTTCAAGGAGTATCTATCCCTCAGAACAGTGGATGATCTGAAGTACATCATCGATTAAGTTTTTGGTGGTCTGGAGACAGAACAAATGGCCTTAATGGGCCAAAAATAACCTTTTCTGCTTCCATCTTAAAATGATGTCCCAGATTAAGAGGCCAGGCTCCAGCAGAGAAAAGGGCACATTTTTAGTCATTATTTTCTTACACGTTGATACGAGTGGAGTATTTTTCTGATGAATTGTGAAAGATAAAACCATTGTAGGAATAATTATAATGTTTGCTTACAAATACGTTTCACAGCAAAATACTGTGAAGTGATTTGAGACATTTTGGTGACATTAAGGTGCAATAATCAAGTGCAAGGACTATTCATTAAAAGGATGATTACGGAAATATTGATTTTACAAATGGCAAAATACTGCAGATGCTGGAAATCTGAAATAAAAACAGAAAGTCACTGGGAACACTGAGGAGGCCAGGCAGCATCTATGGAGAAAGGAAAGTGAGTTAACATTTCCAGCTATTATCGTTTTAATAAATCTTAAACCAAGGTCCTTTCTTTTGTCCGGGCTTGATTTTAGTCTGTTTGATCCATTTTAGATTTTACATTTGTAAGGTTTCTTTTCAAAAGATTTATTAAAATGATAACAACTAGCAAAGAATAAAGCTGTTGCCCTGTAGCTCAGCGGTTCGATCACTCACCTCGCAAGATCTGGGTTCGATTCCCGGGGTGGGGGGTGAAATGTTGGGCAAGTTTCCTCACTCCACATTGACTCTGTTTACCTAGCAGTAAGTAGGAACCCGGTTGTTAGTCGATTGGCGGATCACTTTTCCGGGGGTAAGAATTCCTTCAGAAAAAAATAACAATAAATTGGTCAATCAGTCCAGGACTATTCGTGGGACACTGCGGGGCACAATTGGCTGCTGCAATTTGCTACCCCCCCCCCAACCCACCAAAAAAAAACAACCAGTCAATTCACTTTGCAGTGTAATCTGTGAAGCGTTTTGAGACGTCTCGGAAGAAGTGATCAGGCGCTCTATCAAACGCCAGGAATATTCTCATCTTGCTAACCGCACACTCCCAGCATCAGGACGATTCCGGTTTGCGTAAACCCGGACACAAGAGGGCGCAGCGCAGTGATACCGTCGCACTCGGTCCTTTGCATCGCCTTATTAGTGTGTTGCTCATTAGTCCCACTGTGGGGCGTTTAGGTGCTTTAAAGCCTTTAAGACTTCATATGGTGTACCTTCAGGAAAGCGTCTGCATGTAGAGTGATCAGTCGGTGGATTCTCAGGTATTATTTATTGGGGGGGTGGGGGTTTGGGGGGTGTAATGTTAGTGTATTATAATCCAAATGAATCTCTTGTATTTCCCTCTTATCTGATTTACCTATTCGGAGGTGCAATAGGTCTCAGTCTGAGAATGAAAAAAAAACTTAAAAGTTTTCCTCTGAATACAATTGACCTGGTTTAAATGTTCCGTGCACCAGCCGTGAGGGATTTCTTCAGCAGTGTTTTTTTTTAAAAAAAAGATTAGTCGATATATATCTATATTTATTTAAAGAAATAAACGCTGTGAAATGCAGAAGTGCGTGGCTGTTGCAATGATTTTTTTTAAAAAAAAAGAATGTGCTGATCTATTCCTATCGCAACAACTTCAAAATAACCAGACAAAAAAAAAAGTAGGATCTAAACGGGCACTTTTTGGGGGGTAAAAAAAATAACAGGTCGGTAGATGGTTTGGACGTGGAGTTGTTGATTGCGTTACTGTCTGAGATCCACGGCATCAATGTCATTGTTTCTACTTCCAGGACGAGGGCTTCTGTGGTGATATTTATTTCTGACCATTGCATCGCGACGAACTTTGGTCGTAAAACAAAAAAAAAACATTTTAAGGAAGGCAGTAACTCCCGTTTGGGGGGGGGGGGGGCGGCTGTAATCGCGGATTTGTGGGGTGTGAGGGGGTGTGGGGGGGGGGACTGGGTGTTGGGAAGAGCAGTTCCCATTCCTCCTGCCCAACGAGCACCAGCTGTTCACCAACACAATGTATATTTTTCCATAATGTGCGCGCAGCAGAGACAGCTGAATCCTAACTAAACGCATCTCTAATGTCCCTAAACAATTGCGCCTGGAAGAGGATCAGTGCATTAATGGTGCAGATTGGAATGAGAGAGACACACACACACACACAGAGACAGACAGACACAGAGAGAACTGGAGTATTTGCATCAGAGAAACGGGTTTAGTTCCTAATTAAACTGCATTCGCTTTTTTGTTGTTTATTGGGGAGGGGGGGGTTTGAGGGGGAGGGGGGGGTGAGAAAGAGGAATCCGAACCGAACATTTTTTTTTGCTGCTCTGTGTGTGTGTGTGTGTATTATTATTTTTATTTGTATATAAACATACATATTAAGAACTATTATGATTTTTTAAATTTTTTTAAAAAAAAGACAGAAAACATATCACTTTGTATTGGAATTAATTGTGTTTCTTTTTTTCTCTCTCCCTCTCTCTCTCCCCCTCTCTCTCGCTTTGCCTTTCAGACAAGAGTGCGATGACCACCAACCAGTCCAGTGGTCCATCCATGTTGCCTTGAGTGTGTGTGTGTGTGTGTGTCTGTGGGGGGTGGGGAGGGGGGGGTGTGGGTGGTGGTGGTGGATGTGTATCTGTGCGCACACGCGGCTATGGGACGGCCGCCCGCGTGCGCTCTGCTCGGGGCCCTGTGACTGAGCACTTGATTGACAAACAGCAGCGTCCCCTCTCTCTTTCTCTCTCTTTCTCCTTCTCTCTCTCCTTCTCTCCCCCCCCCCCCCCCCCCCTACTCCTGTCTCTCTCTCTTACCTCCCCACACGCGGCCGGCGCCTGCATCATGGCAGCGCTCTCCCCGCAGCCCGGCAGCCAGGCGGGGCTGCGAGTGGGGGCTCAGCTCTCGGTCACTGTGCAGCACATCATCAGTGGCACCTTAGTGGTGTCCACCAGCCTCGGTGGGGACAGCTACACCGGCATCCTGATAGACATGGCCAAGAGGTAAAGTGCTCCCAATCCTCCCTCCACTCTTTCCCCCCCCCCATCCCCTCCCCAACTCACCCACTCACTCGTACACTCCACCTCCACCCACCCCCTTCCTCCTCGCTCATTCCTTCTGATAGAAACTCATTGACCGGAGACACTTTGGGGGTCACCGACTTGCGTCAACGCCGTTAAAAAAAAAAGTGTGTTGACGTAGCTGCACCTTCCGTGTTCAACAGCAACAAATGACATGTGTATTATTGGCGCCTTTCACACGCGGACGTCCTCGAGGCGTTGGACGGTCCGGGATCCTCGCCACTCTCCGTTTGTAGGATGGAGGAATAAGAGTTTCTGATTCTTCTGCCGGCTTGGCCCGCAGAGGCACAGTCACCACACTTGGCGACGATTTGCCCGTGAAGCGCTTTGAAACACTTCTGACGTCTCCAGGCGCGTGATGTTTTAGATGCAACATGCGAGGGGTGGAGTGTTTGTTATTTTCCGGAATGCATTCCAGATTATAACTGGATTTCCTTGTCGTTTACAAAGACGATCAGTTAATCCCAACATCAAATATATACAGTATTTTATATTCTGTTTCACTTTCAAAAGCTGTTATATAAATGCAAATTGTTGCATTGTTTCCAATAACAAACTGTTCTATTTACACAGCACTATAACATATGTTGTAGTTGCTTGTTTGTTAAACAATACATGTGTTTGTTACAAAATGTTAGTATTCATTTGTGGGTGCACTGTAATAACCATTTGTGTCATTATTTGATACCACCAAATATGGAGCAACCCATTTTCTCAATTTGTGACAAAAAATGTTAAGCACAGCAGCTGCTGTGTAAATTTCTGCGCAAAACCCCATGCTAATTGAGGACTAAGAACTCAACACAGTTAGTGCATTTCACTTGCCAAAATAAGCTCTTGGTTGATTAATTATTTAGTATTGTATAGAATTTGAAGTTATTTCAATCAGAGTTGTCAGGATTGTTTGACGACCAGTCACATTAACACCTTTTCACAAGTCTCATGTGAGTGGAGCCCATTCAGGTAGTTGTCGCGTAGAGATTAAATTTCCTTTCACTGTAATGAAAACTTTTAGCAGTGTCGAATAAAATTGTGACTGTTAAAAAAATGATTGAGTGGTAGCCAGTTTCAATTGAGATATCGGCAAACATTCCAATTTGCATATTTACTTGCATTTAGCTGCAATTGGTATTGGTAAACATTGCAAGTATGATCTAATGCACATCATTGTCTTCAGTGCTACTATATTTTAGTTCATTACAATAAAAAAATTACAATGATAAACTGTGTGGTTGAAGAAATAAGTAAATTAATAACTCCTAATTTTAGCATTAATCAGGTTAACAAGAGAAGAGATCATGCTGAATAAAATGGCAAAGTTTGGTTTTTAAAACCAGGCTAAAATGAATTTACATAATGGAAATACCTGATTTACAAGACATAAGTAAATATTGTAAAATTGGGTTGTATGCTGTAATCATAATATCGGATTGAAATGTTTTATGCAATAAACCCAACCCATGATAATGCTAACTCCAAAGATAAAATCTTGTTTGGCCTACAATGCTCCTCGGTGATCAGATGGTAGTTAAATTTAATAACAGATGTCTCTTAGGATACTAAAGTATGCCCAAGAATATGTGTTTTGTACTTTTCTTTATTTTAGTTATTATGGCAAGGTCTTTTGTAATGAGGTTTTATAAGATTAATAATTGTTAACTAATGAATCTCAACCTGTAGTAAGGAAGATCAGCTTTTGTGCAGATGAGTTTTTGTTTGAAACTATTGTGCAGGCATGGAGGAAGTATACTGTATTCATGCATTGTGTGTACACGCTGATCAACTATTAATTATCATTGTTCATTGAATACTTGTGTCTGCCAGGACTGGTTTGTACGGTGTTTTACCCAACAATTTTCTCAAGCAAGATCATTTTCCTGTAGAGGCATATACTCACGGAGTCATTGTTGATAAAGAACCTATTCAGACTGTGTCACAGCCCTCCATTGTGGAATCTCGCAAGATGTCAGGTGAAGGGCAAGTTCCAAATCTTCAGCCATTACCAGGTGTTGTGCCTTGTTTCACACCTTATTATGAAGGTGCATCACTCCCACAGCCCTTACTCTTAAGACAAACTTACCATCAGTGGGTTCCACAACCACCACTTCGGATAATCAAGCGTACAAAAAGGCGTCTGTCTAGGAATCGAGATCCTGGTAAACTCACATTAAGCACCATTCGGTTACGGCCCAGGCAGGTACTCTGTGAAAAATGCAAGAACACTCTGAATGCTGACGAAGAAGAAGACAAAGATGCACAAAACGGTAAGAATGAAGAGAAAGAGAAAAGTAAAAACGAAGCAATGGGCTGTGAAAATAGAAAGCTGAAAAGGGAAAAAAGGGATGATGACGATTTTCACGGGGAAGTGGTTCATCGAAGCCCAGTGATAAAAATATCATACAGCACTCCTCAAGGAAAAGGAAAAGTTGTGAAAATTCCCTCTCGGGTACATGGCTCAGTTGAGCCCTTTTGCCCCAAGCGATTAATGGAAAACGGAAGGGAAGACCAAGGGAAGAATAAGAACTCTCTGAGTGATGAGGATGTGGAGGTTTTTCCAGAAAATACATCTTCGAATCTACCTGGAACCATTCCAAAACTGAAGCTGACCAGGCCCTTGCATTCTAATGCAGATATCCCACCACCAAGAATCCGATTAAAGCCGCAACGTCTCAGTAATGGGGACAGTTTTGCCATTTATAAGGCCGAACTTGTGGATAATGTAAATTGTGGTGTGGAACGTGCAAGGAGATCGAGTGATGCACTTCATTCCGAAGATTCTATAGGCAAGAGTTCAATGGAGTCGACTTCAGGGAGTTCTGGAGAGGATCATTGGAAATCTAAAAGACGCCGACGAAGTAAGGATCAAGTCAGTGATTTGACGGTGTATTTAAGTTACAGGAAGAAAAGAGCAGACTCTTCGAGTTTATCAGTGTGTAGTAATGATAGTCTAGATGAATCCAAGTCTTCCAGTTCAGAGATGACTTCCCCAGAAATTTGTGATTTTGCACCTGGAGATGATGCATCCGTGTCATCTTCCTCCAAAGAAGAGAAGACTGTGCCGCCCCTAACTGTAAGACTTCATACTAAAACTGTCACCAAATGTGTCACTCCTGAAGGCAGGACTATCTCTGTGGGAGATATAATATGGGGGAAAATTCATGGCTTCCCTTGGTGGCCTGCCCGCATCCTCAGTATTAATGTGAGCAAGAAAGAAAATGGGGCACCGTTGTGGCAGGAAGCCCGAGTGTCTTGGTTTGGCTCACCAACAACATCTCTGCTCTCCGTATCAAAGATTTCACCCTTTTTGGACTATTTTAAGTTGAGATTCAACAAGAAGAAAAAAGGAGTGTATCGCAAGGCTATTACAGAAGCTGCCAAGGCAGCTGAGCATCTGACACCTGAAATACAATCTCTCCTGACACAGTTCGAAACGTAACCAATCCACAGCAACGGGTGAGTGGACGCTAAAAACAAGAACTTCTCGAAACTGGTGACCTGTAATCAGTAAAGCTATTGAATGGTTAAAAAAAACTCTTCTTAAAAATATTTCAGAATCTTCTAAATTGTGTTGCTTTATTTATTTCAGTGTATTAGAATATATCCTACATATCTAATGTTTCAGAATTAAGTAGAAAAATTGGGTTTCCTGAGCTTTTGGGTGGATTTACATGGAATTAGCCAAATAGAAGTGTGCAATGCTCAAATTTGCATTGTTTGCACTTCACATAAAGCGAGAGAAGCTCATATACAGTTTATCCTTGTTTGGCTGAAAGCATGTTGTGCTAGTGACATTTTTCAGTTTAATTTGTTGGCGTGATGATTGCAGTAATAAGTTTATTTCCTCGAACAACATCATCTGCTAGACCTACTTTATTACCTGCATTACTCCATTGGATCGAAATTTATATGTAAAACCAAGGCATATGCTTTATTAAAATACATTGATTATTCCTAAGCGTCATTGTTTATTATATGGTTGAGGTCAGAGAGAACTACAACTTGATGCAGATGTGTTTTCAATATAATGTGGATTGGGAAGTAAATGTAACAAAAGTCATGTGTACTGTACTTATAGAGAAGTGGTTGCTGTGCCTAGACACTGCCCATAATGCTTCAGGCAGAATTCACAGCAGCAATAGCTATGCAGAAACAACTGCACTTGTGAGAACTTGCATCGTTGTTTGCCACAAATTGCAAGTTTCTTTCCTGGCTGTGGTCTTATTTTCCCTCCTATGGGCAAGCTCCGTACAGGCTAGCAGTGATGACTGCATCACCAACCTTGAAGATCAATCTGCCCTCAGCCAGCAACAAATGATAGCAGGAGAACTTCAAGGTCAAGGAGAAAATCCACCTTCAGGTTTACTTTGTAGCTCTATCGCCCAAAACAGGGCTCTGTCTATATAAATGGTGTAATATAAATGTGATATGCAGAGTTTGAGGATGCAGGCAGCAGAGTTTTGCATTTGCTGGAGCTTATAGATGGTGGAGCTAAGCAGACCAGTAAGGAGTTCAGTCAAAACATTTAGGCAATGAGAAATACTTTTTTTTGAAAAAGACAATGGAATTGATCAAACAACTATTTCTATGAGCCAGAGAAAGTCTATGATTGTAAGCTGCCTGCATCCTCACCAAACTCCGCACAACCATTACCCCAGGGCTCACCAAGTTCCATTGGCTCCCTGTCTTTCAAAGGTCAAGGTCCTCACCCTTGTTCTTCAAGCGCTAGCACTTCTCTATCTCTGTGACCTTCTCCTACCCCATTCCTGCGCAAAGCCCTTCCATTCAGCTATCTAAGGCTTGCTGCATGAGCCTTGGCCCCTTCTGCAACATCATCGATGGCCAGTTACCACGTCTCTAAACTCTGGAACTCCCTCTATTTTGCCTCCTCAGTCCCATCTTGAAATCTATCCCTTTAACCATGCCTGTGGTTATCTCTCCCTTCCCCCGCCCCCTCTCCCTTGCTCAGCATTCAACCCCATCAATGTAAAGCACTCCCAAGATGTTATCCGATTTGAAGGGTGCTACATAAATGAATGTTGTTGTTCATTTACTTTGAATTTAAGCTCTACTTGGTAGAACACCAGGCACAAATTCATCTACTGCCCTGTCATTCACTACTAAAATAGACTTAATGCCTTGAGCACTCCACTATTTAAAGTAAATTTTCACTTCAGACTGTTTTGGCAAGTCTAAGGTAATGTCTGCTTCACTCTGTCTTGCTGCATGTTACCTAGAACAAACCAACCTTATTGTATTGTAATTGTTCCCTGGAATGAGTCCTCTAACATTAAGCTGCACAGTAATTGTACTACATTATGTCTTTTATATTCTTATGAATAGTTTGGTTGAAAATTGTTTCATGCAGAACATTTTCAAACCTATATTTCTAGTTAGACAAATGCATTCCTGCATACCACACCATCACAACTCTGATATCTGAATTGTTTATCCTCTAGAGTTTTATCATGAAAATTGCATCTAATTATTAGAACTTGCACGTGCTCCCCCTCTTCCCCTCCCCCCATGTAATTCTGGTGTAAACCATGTAATTCGTAAGTGCTTCAGTCTGAACCTTCGTTGCCAAGACAATCTTGAGGAGGTAGTTTTAGGGGGAATTGATTCTCACTGCTTTAGAATAAATATTGGTAGTGCAAATTGGCTCAGGCTTTGTTCAAAAACAGTTTCTTAAGGTTCTTTGAAGGACCAATACACCACTCCAAGATGTTTCAGAACCATTTGTAATGTTATGAAGGATCCAGTCACTTGATCATCTTAAAACTGATTAGCAGAGCGCTGTATACATTTATATAGCGTCTTTCACATTGGGAGGATCCTAAAGCTCTGGGTGGTCGAGGGTTTGCAGCTGAGTTGGAGGTTGGTTTTGGGAGGGCCAAGGGGTTGGGGGTGGAAAGGTGGCTGAAAGCGCAGTTGCATATCTTCAGATGACTTCTCAATCATACCACCACTTACCCCCACAAGAGGCCTTGAAAATTTTGCTCAAAATTTACTATTAGGTACAAAGTCTCGTCTCCAGAACTGTAAACCACACTGCAATTGCAGCCTATAACTATTTATTGAACTACTGACAGTTTATAATTCTTGCTGAAAATGGATCATAAAGGGTGCTCAATTTTAAATTGAAGTTATTTTAATGGTGTACTCAGTGACAGTAGTTTAGAAATCACATTGGAGTGGTCAATTCCACATTTCGTTGTGAAAGTTGTAACCTCAGCAATAGCTTTTTAAATTCTTTCTATATTTAGATTAATCTCTTTAAATAGATTTGGTACATTACATAGAATGCATCTGTTCAGCTTCTTAGTTGGGTGATACGATCAATGCTTTCACCTTATTAGAATTTAATGTACACTAAAGGGCAATATTATTCTGTGTTTTTTTCTATTTTAATCATAACTGAGCAGGTATCAATTACCAACCTGATGACGGTCTCTACATTTTGTGATAGTTTTAGTCTGCCTTTTTCAAGATCACAGTCTGTTGAGGTTGGCCACTGTCACCAAACAAATGGACAAATGTCGTGGGGGTGGGAAGATGGTGGCCAAGTTTTTAATTTTTTAAAAAATAATCATAAACGGTTTAGAGCTTTGGTCACCTACCACGTCATCAAAGCAAACAACAATGATCTGTGGTTTGCGTGTCAAGCAGTACACCAATTGTGACAGGTTCTTTGACATACTGTTGTGTCACATGGAGGAAATGTATGCATAAATGTATGTAGGAAACATTAATACCCTGTTACAATACACAACAGACCCAGCCCCTTGGGACGAGGTGGTGGGGGTTAGGGGGGGGGTGCGGAACCTGTGCCACTTCCCTCCAGTGAATAGACCAAGGTATCCCCCACCTCGACATTCTGATGCCCTTTACATGTCACATTGCAAGATGGATCTGTGGGTCTTGTCATACCCCCCCACCACCTCACCTAAAGGGGCCTATTGTAACAATAACAACAAAATTAAATTTATAGAGCGTCTTTCACGTCGGGAGGACGTCCCAAGGCACTGGACAGTCAGCTCAGGACCCGAGCATGGGGGAGAGGTGAGGGAAGGCAGAGAGGTGGGAGGGCAACTGAAGGCACGATTGAAGAGAAGGGTCTTGAGACTGGCCTTGAAGGAGGCAAGGGAGGAAACCAGGCATATTAATGTGTTGCATACAGTATTGAGTTATTCACACATCCGCGGGACGATCTTTAGTTACAGCACGAACATCCCTCCTGTGTGCACGACATACATGTGTGCGTGCATCGCACACGCCACACATTTACAACAATTAAACCTGAAAACATTGTGACACAAACACACGACCGAATACAAAACAACCAGCACCCATCGTGGTGGAAGGAGCAATTGCACCTCCATTGAGGTGGAGATATTGAGACGTTCCTGTCCGGGAGATTCTGCTGCCTTTATCTATAGCGAGCAGTTATTTGGGTGGGGCTACTCCCCACTCTAGCATCCTTTATCTACAGGAATGGCGACTGTGCTGATTGCTGGTTTTGACTATTCCTCCAAAAGGCGGTGAGTTATTCAGCTTGAATTTGGGTTTCCCTACTGCCTTCAGCACAGAAACAGCCCTGGTCAAAGTGACAAATGATATTCTGTCTGTCTGCGACCAAGGCTCCCTCTGCCTCCTCGTCCTCCTTGACCTCTCTGCTGCTTTCAACATTGTCGACCACTCAATCTTCCACTGCCTCTCCTCTCACCTCAACCTTCACGGCTCTGTCTTTGACTGATTCAGATCGTACCTCTCACAACTCCTCTACTTCATCTCCATAAACGGCTTCTCCTCGAACCACCGCACTGTCTCGTGCAGCGTTCCTCAGGGCTCTGTCCTTGGTCGTCTCCTCTTCAATATCTATATGCTCCCTCTTGGTGACATCATCCACAAACATGGGGTCAACTTCCACATGTATGTGGATGACACTCAATTATACCTCTCTGCCTCCACCCTTGACTCCAGGACCACTGCTGTCCTGACAGAATGTCTGTCAGACATCAAGTCCTGGATGAGAACTAACTTTCTTCAGTTGAATGTCAACAAGACCGAGGCTCTCCTGATTGGCTCCCGTCGGTGCCTCCTCATCTCGGGCTGACAGCATCACCATCCATGGTTGCACACTCCACCTTACTAAGCCAGTCCGGAACCTTGGCATCTTGTTTGACCCTCAACTATCCTTTCTACCCCACATCTGCGCCATGACCCGCTCTGCCTTCCCCCACCTCCACAACATCCCCCGGCTCCACCACCGTCTCACACCACAGGAAGCCGAAACCGTCATACATGCTTTCATTACATCGAGGCTCGACTATGCAAACTAATTGCTTGTTGGCCTCCCCAACTCCTCCCTCCACAAGCTGCAGATCATCCAGAACTCTGCAGCCCACGTTCTCTCCCGCACTGGGCTCCGCAACCCTATCAGCCCCATCCTCGTC